CGGGATTTTTTCCAGGACTGTTGGAAGTAGGTTGTGTGATTGGCAAAAGGGGGGGTTCCCATCAGCACTGCCCATGACGTGCACGTTGTCCCAGGCATCTGATGTGGCCTGGTGAGCCCAGGTCCACACAGCAGCCCCAAGCACCGGGCCTGGCAGCAGTGACACTCGCTAGGGGAAAAAAGGACCGTATTAAAACGAGGTGAGGGCTTGAATGCAAAACCACAGCATAACTGGGGGTCTCTGCACTGGTGGCAAATCTGGCAGCTGGGGCTGGGCTCTTGGTGAAACGCTTGGTTTGCCAACAGCAGTTTGGTACCCCAACCAGGAGACACTGAAATGAGGATGCACAGAGCCTTGCCTGCCTGCCTGCACCTCTGGGGTAAGCTGGCAGGGCTGAGGGAGGGAGAAAAAACCTCCTGTGCTCTGCTTCGGACCATGCACAGGCACTGTGTGCCACGGGGCTCATTTTGCGCTTGAACACCTAGTCGGGATGAACCAGGGAACATTTTCCACCATCCTCTTCTTTTCTTCCTTTGTGTGTCAATAGAGAGATCGGTTATCCTAGGCAAGGTGTGTGTTATTGATCTTTCCGACTCTATTATTCCCATTTGAGGTACTTGGTATAAAGATCTCAGCTACCCTTTAATCTTGCCACACCTCAGAGAGTAGCCAGGGTAGGATCTGATTCCAGTGTTATGCTAGAATTATTTGCTTTGAAACTGAAAACTCCATCACTGACCACTCACAAATGAAATAAAATAAGTCTTCACCAGTTACATTTTTATTTTGAGCGGCTCAGATGGATTTCAGCAGAAGGAAAGTCTCTGGGTTGCCCTGTCACATTATGCACTTAATTTGGACTTGGTCCAGCGAGGATTTTTGATGACTTTGTCTCTACTTCTTGTGTTTTTCAGGATCATGTACACATGGCCGTTGTCCTGGGGATGGGGTACGGTTCCCTCTGAATGCCTAATTAAGCTCCGATTAGCATTTCTTCTCGGAGCAGATGCAGCTTTTCCAGCCCAGCAAACAATGCCATCTGTTGTTCCCTTGCTGTAATTTCCATCTGAAAGTCTGCTCTGCTTCTATATTTAATTGTGAAGTTTCCTGCTGCCAAAAAAGTAAGGTCGGTTTAAATTTGGCATCGGGAGGAAAAGGCCGAGGGGGAGGGAGATTGGATTTTTATTGTTGCTGCAGGGAACGGTAAGTTGGTTTAGTCTGACTGGCAGCTCGGCAGCCTGGTCTCCCGTGCAGGACCAAACCAAAGGGTGAAAACTTTGATCAAGACTCTCATTGCCACCTCGCATCCTCTCCTTGACCTCAGGTCTACTTCTGCTGGGAGGCTTCTGCAGTGTTTTCCTACCGTTGCTCCCACCACTTCCCTGGATGGCTGGATTAGAAGGAATAGCATGGTCCTCGGACACTGGCACTCATAGCCCTATGCTGTGACCTTCCCTGAAGACTTTTGGCATCCACAACAGAGGAAAGTATTCACAAACAACCTTGTCTATGCTCCTAGCCTCGGGGAAACGCTGAATTTGCATGGCCTTGACCAGCCTGCTGTGACTGCCAAGAAGGAAGCCAATTGGAGCAGTGATTTTTGGGCATCTGTCAACTCACGTCTGGCTTGAGACCCACTAAACTAATTTCACACAGACCACTTAGCAGCCATTAGCTGGTTGTGGCATGACCTGTGGTGGACTGTGACCAGTGACCTAGCGGGGAAAACTCTAAATTTTATTATTTAACCCCTTGAAGAGTTGGGTTTTATAGGATGGGAATGCTCAGTGAAAAATAGAAAAAGATGCAAAAGGAGTAAACATGGTTTGTTGGCCAGATTTTATCCCTCCTGCCGCTTCTATGAACACCACTTACTTTAATCAACTACGTCAGGAGCTAGACCTATGATATAAATGGATAAAAACAGCTAGTGAATTCTGGCTAGGGTACATCTTTTGACTCTCCACCTTTGGGAAAGCAAGGTTTTAATGAAAACCAGGCAATTAGGGCTGATTTCTATAACAAGTCAAATCAAATGCTTAATTTTGCAAATGTTTAAGTGTTCCTCCCGTAATAAATGTTATGCTAAACAAATACAGCCAAAGGGTAATTTATTTAAAACTTTGTTTTTGTTTTTGTTTTTGTTTTTTTTCCCCAAATTTTAAAACAGTTAACCCCTATTCCCTTTGATGGGTCATGATGAAGGAGGGGATCTCAGCAGTTTTCCAACTTGTTTTCAAAATGCCAACAAGTTGCAGAATGCTGTACCCCCAGCTGACTAACATCAGCTACGCATTAGGTACATCAAACCAAAGGCCAATGCAGGGCATGATTTGTTTAATAATGCAAGAGAATTTCCCCTATACACTGAAATCATAACCACAGCACCAGTCCCTCAAATACCTCAGGGATGCTTGAGGCCAGCATCCTATGTAAGGAGCTGGTATTAACATTCATCGTAAATTAAGCTTCTTTTCCCTACACACGCCTAGTTCTTAAATCCTCTTTAACAAGAGGTTTAAAAACATTTTCAAATGTCTGCCAGGATTTTTCCTTTGCTATTAAGCATTCCCATTGTGCTCCCCCCTGCCTTCTCAGATGTCTGGCTCAGCTGCTCCTTCACAGTGAGGAGCTAGTTGCCAGTCTGCGTGTCTGGTGTGCCCATCACTGCCGTATCTGGCCTTCTGCTGCTCCCTCGGAACCAAAGCTGCTATCCTAATCCCATCTCCTCGAGCATCTTAACACCAGATGTGTGCACTACCAGAGCACAGGATGTTTCCTGCAGCGTTTGCTGGGACTGCCCTCTGCTCAGCTTTGCCAGAGACGGAGGAGGGAGTTACGCAGCTACGGAGCTGGTGGGCGGGAGATGAGCATTAGATATTGGGTCTTAGAAGCATCTTTTCAGGTAGAGTTTTCCAGAGAGCTATTCCCAGCTTTGTAGGTCCCCAGGACAGAAATTCTCCCTGCCGTGTTGCAGAAGACAGGCTGGGTTCACACACACAGCTTGCTGGGACAGGATTTCACTTTTGTAGTAGCACTCTGAAAGCGCTTTGGAATTAAGAAACATGACCTTACTTTGCTCCACAGCCCTTTCACACTCCGGAGCAGCTGGGTGGAACTCGGCAGTAAAAGGGAAAATCAATTTTGTCTTTCATGTTGTTGTTGTTTAACAGATGCGTTCAGGATGCCACCACACCCGCCTCTTGCACAAATCCCTGTTGTCTTCCTGAACAGCTCATTAAAGTCGTTAGCAGGCCCCGGGACAATTTTCAGGCTCTCCAAGAGTGGCTGCGCTTGTAGCTGGGAAGACAGCAGCACTCTAAGAGTTAAGCTGCAGTGACCTGGAACAACACAGATCCAAAAAAAAACGGGAATTTGATCCAGTTCAGCATCTTCAGTGTACTTTGTTATTTACCATACACGAGTTCTGCCAGCTGTAGCTGATCTTCTGTTCCAACCCAGGAAGAGAAGACTCCATTTTTCATTTATTGGGATTTTTGCTTCAATATATCCCCATAGCAGCCACCTTCCACCTCCTCCCATGTCCCCGCCACGTAGAATTGGCCACGCAGGTGGCAAAGCAAGGACAAGTGGTGGCAGTTACTTCAGTGGGAAACTTAAAGAGATTGTCTTTACTAGGTCAAGAAGCAGCAAGTCCATCCCTGGGTGTACAGAAGGTTTGACACATTTTGGACCTAGGTTTTTCCATCCAGCAATTATCTGGGGAGATACGCTTAATAGAACTGTTAGTTTTCCACTTGAATCTTATTACTGAACGCTTGTGACTGAGTATAGGGAGTATGGCCCAGGAGAATTGGGGTCGTGGGAGGAGATCGGGAAGACCTCATCCCTGCCTCCTCTGAGTATGCAAACTTTGTGTATCCAAAATTTGTTTATTCAAAATTCGTGTATCCAAAGAAGCTTTCAGCTTCTTTTTTTTGTTTTTTGTGTTTTGTTTTTTTTTTCTGGTGGCCAAAACTTTTGTGTCCCAGGGGAGGCACAGCTGCCGGTGGTGAACTTGCACCCCAGGCCAGTTCCTCCGTCCTCTGTGGTGCCTCTCCCTGCAGCACAGGCTGGGAAACACGAGTGGGGACCAGAGGCAGCGCTGTCACCCGTGTCCCTCCAGCGGCTCTTGTGTTATGTGAAAAACGTTATTGCTCCTAAATCAGCCTTTTTACCCCCCAGTTTGGCTCAAAGGAGCATTTACCCGCCTCCCCCCGCCCCCTCAACTCCCTCCGGACAAAGGTACTGGCGGTCCCCACCCGGGGGGACACACGGACCCCTGCCAGCCCCCCGTCCCACCCCAATCTCTCCGCAGGCGAAGGGACCCCGTGGGAGGCTGGTGACCTCCACATTCCCCACGTGCTGAAATTTTGCTGAGCCGAGGGCCGGAGATTCCAGAAATCGGCTTGGATTTTAGCAGAGTTTTGCTTGACTTTTAATTAGGGGGCTCGGGTCGGTGGCGGGGGAGCGACACGCAAGGACAAGACGGTGCCGGCCACGCAACCGGGGGCGGCCGGGCAGGACCCAGCGGAGCCCTGAGTCAGGGGGCAAAGGCCAGAGGAGAGTCACGGGTGACTCCACGCGAGGCCGGAGTGCAGTCCGACCGGCTATGCAGCAGCGGTGCCAACGGCGAGCTCCCCGCAAGCCCTCGGGGAAACGCCACCCCAGCTGGCGTGGGGGCTGCAACGCACCCACGGAGGAGGAGGCGGGGGGGGGGGCGCCCGGCTGAAACCGGGTAAGGCGGCCGTTAGGACCCAGCGAGCTCCTTGCCGCCCTCGCCCCGCCCCCAAGCCGCCTTCCAGTCCTCCCATTGGCGGGACCGCCCGCCCTCTCCCATGCGCCGCTCCGCAGGGGGGCGAGGCGGGGAGGCGCGTCACCGTCTCGGCGCTCTCTGAATGGCCGAGGCGGCGGCGGCCGGCCCCGCCCCCGGAGTCCCACGCGAGGCGGGTCCCACCCCGCCGGTGACATTGTGCCCGCCGAGCGCGCGGGGCCGGGCTGGGCCGGGTCCTACCGCCGCCGCCGCGTCCATCGCCTCACGCGTGGGCCCGGGGCCGCCCCGCCGCCCGCCCTCCATCCATCCCACCATCCCACCCGCGCTCCCTCCATCCATCCGTCCATCCGGGGGGGCTGCGGGGCCGCCGGGGGTTTCGGCCGGGCCGGACGCGGAGACAAGAGGGTGAGTGATTTTTATTTTTTATTTTATTTTATTTTTTTCCCCTCAGCGCCGGTTTCAAGGCGCCGCTTCCCGACCTGCCTCCGGCCCCTCTGGGTGCCGCCGGGGCTGAGGGCCGGGGCAGGGCAGGGACCCGGCCTGCCGGTCCCGCCGGGTTCCGTGGGCAGGTCCCGCGGGGAGTGCAATGCCTGGGTGAGGTGAGGGGCTTTTTCTTCTAAAGCCAAAAAAACCAAAAGAGCTGCTCTTCATCTCTTATATGTGAAAGTCTTGATTTCTCCCCTCCGCCCCCTTGTACCCGTGTCTCTCAGAGCTGTGGTGTACGGGACACAGCTCCCACAGCCCTTCTGATTAAATCCGTTCAATTAACGCTGCCTAGAGAAGCCTGCAGCTTCCTACCAGTGACGGGACCGAGCTGACAGAGGAGAAGAAATTGTTCCCTGTCCGTGCAGGCCCCTTCGCATTTAAAAAAACTTACAAGCAGGTTTGGTACTTGCTTTATTTTTTTTATTCTCCCCTCTTTTTTTTTTTCTTTACTTTTTTCATCCATCCACTCACGCTCTTGGGTATCGGGGTGGGGGGCTTAGAGTGGCCATATCCACCCTTGGAAAGATCTTCTGTCCTCAGCCTTTCATAAAGCAGACACCAAAGTGTTTCGTACTATTTACACGCAGAGCCCCAGCTTCGTAACTGGTTTCTGTTTACCTTTCCTGGCAGTCTCAGCTTGCCGTCTTCTCTTGTCATCTGCTGGAGTCACTTCTCCAGTCAGGGTGCCATGGGCTGGAGTCTTCCTCCAGATGTACTTCTGGACAGATCCAGAGCCCCAAGAGAAAAACAAACAGCTCTATAACCTTTATACTTTGACAGCTTCCCTTGTCTTCTCCCTCCTTCCCTGTTGTCTTGTGACGCTTGTTTTTATTGAGCTTACCTCAGGAGCAACCCGAGATGTTTGTAACACACCCTGCACGTTTCTGGTGGCGTCCAGCTGCTCCTGTTATCTCAGCTGTGTTACTGATGGCTGCTCTGGTAACAGTCTCCTTTCAGAGCAGGGTAAACCAGGTCTGAGCTCTCGTGTACTTTCTTTTCTCTGCCCGTCTCTCAAGGGGTCTGACTCCTTAGTGAGCCGGGACCCTTTCTGGCGCCTCTCTGTTTTCCTTGTCCTGTTTGCTGCTTCAGATCAAATCTTACCCCAAACCACGTTTTGTCTCTTTTGTGTCTTTAACCCTCACCATCTGCTCTGGTTTATCTCTGCGATAAGGCTGTATGTATTCAGTAAAGCAGTTGGGGAAGAGACACCGGTGAGAGTTCGCTCCGCAGTGGGAAGGTGTGGGGTGGGCACAAGATTCTCACGACTAAAACCAGAGTGAAATTTGCTGCAAAAGCCAATTAGTCACACCTTAATGTGGACACAGGAGGCTGTAAGCAGCTTCAGCACCGGGGAACTTAAGCCTTCTATCACATTTTTTTTTCTGTTCATTTTCCCAAGTATTAGGGGACTGCTGCGTGAAGTCCTTCTGCCTCAGCACATATGCGAAGCGTGCCTCGTGGTAGGCTCCCATGCTGTGTTTGGAGCAGGTTCAAGTAACTCGGGCCGTGAGGATGGTGTCTCGGATGTGGTTTTGGAGAGGAGATAAGGCCAGTTGAAAATTGTTCAACCGAAGGAGCTAGGCAAACGAAATTCGTGAAGGCAGACAGCTTGGGAACAGATGATAAGATGCTGCATGACACGTACTCCAAACATGTGAAAATGAGCCTGTGTCTGATAAATAATATGATCCCTCCAGTGCTGGAGAAAGTGCTGGGCATGGTCCTGGACAGGGACAAGGAGTATGTGCATGTCTATGTGGTACATATGTATTTGTGAATGATGATACTGTTTCTGTCCCTCCAGCTGTAACCAAGCGCTCCCCAAAGCCTGCCAGGAGTTCAGGTCCTTCTTAAACAGCCAGAGGAAGTTTTAGGCAATGTTTACCAGGCAGGTGAGTGAAACAGGAAGGGCAGGATGTGGCCATCTGTGGAGGTGGAAGAGGATGGGCAGCGTGTGTCGAGACGGGGAGGGAAGTGGCGGCGGCGTTACAAAAGAGGGTGTTGAGCAGTGCCTTGGCGTGAGTAGGTGGAGCAGGACAGGCAGAGCTGGCCCGGGGTGTCAGCCACGGCGCCTGGGGACCGTGGAAGGGGCAGGTTTGAAGAAGCGGTGTCAGCACTTGAACAGAGGAGTAGATTTACTCCCCTCTTTTATAGACTGTAATTGAATTGCAGTGCATGTGGCTGGCGTCGCTTACAGCAGCGGCTGCGGGAATGCCAGCTAGGAAGCATTTAGCTGTAACAAGCCACCCCGAGCCCCCTGGCCTGACCTTTAACCACCCTCACATCGGTCTGTCTTTGCTTATCAACTTTATATCCCCGCAGTGGCTATTAGTATCGCTCCGGCCAGTACAGCCTGCTCTGTCTTCCCCCCCCCCATCGCTCGAGCATGGGAACATTGCCTGTCCCATAACCACTGTCTGCTTGCTGACCATTAGACTTTGCAAAGGCTTCCAGTTTTATATGACAGCCTGTCAGATTGTGGCGAGGTGAATTTATTACTGCACCGCACTGGCAATCGCTCTGGTTTGCTTGTGATACGGGCAGACATGCCCAGGATAGCCTGGGCTGCTGCAGTGCTCCTGTGCTGATCCAGACCATGCAAGCTGAGTACGTGGTTTGATGCTGTGTAAAGAAATGAAAAGATCAAAGATGGGTGTCACGTGTTCCTTCAGTCCAAAGCCAGAGGGCAATGAGCAATGCCCTGTCTTGCAGCCCCAGACCCTGCAATAACTGTCAGTGCTTTACAATCCAGTGGGAACGGCTGTCCTACATGCCCATCAACATCAGGGGCTAATCGGTTCAGGAGGCGTGAGAGGGCCTCCCACCTCCACGGCTCTGAACTCTGGCCAGGATTGCAAATGAGCTCCTGCAAATCGAACCTGGCAGTTGCAACCACAATCTCCTGCCTGGCAGGGGAGTGGCGAAGACAAAGGCAAAACCCCAGGTTAACTGGCCCGGCACAAAATTGAAATCCTGCCCTGACAGCAGGCAGACAGACCTGTTTGGTATGAGTGTCCGTAGCAGGGCGTCTGGTTAGCCTGACCATCGGAGCAATCAGCTCTGTCAACCTCAGGGCTGGGAGCCGGGCACAGTATGCAGAGAGAGAGTGGGAGGATCTGAATATGCTTTCTGGAGTCAGCAACTGCAATGGTTATTCTGGCATTAATTTGACGTACACCACATCTCATCTTCTGAACGCTCCCTGGGAAGTGGCATGTGGTTCGGCTCCTCTGTATTTTGAAGTACCAAAGGCCTTTTGCTTTGGCGGCGCATTAGCCAGTTGGCTTGCTTGAAAAGGACTTTATCCTGCCCAGATGGGGCTGGGGTAGATACTGCGATCAAGTAGATTGTTTCTATTCTGGAGCCTTTTGGAGTATAATTCGGGAGACGGGACTGCAAACTCGCTTGCCCGCTCTGCAGCCCCTGCATTCATTTTGCAAAGCGACTGTGGTTGATCTGGCAGAATGGGATTTATTCACTAGTGGAGCTAGAGGGCAGGCGGGGAGGACAAAACCCCACAGCAGCCTCTGAAATGAATCATGGGCTCTGAAAAGATCCACTGGGGTTAAGGCATAGCAATGAAAAGCTATTGTCTGGAGCCTGAACTGTGGCTAAAAGCGTTATTTATCCCGATTTGGATAGTGGTTGTAGGAGGGTGTGGTATTCCCAGGAACTGCAAAGCCAGCGTGCTTAGTGGTGAGCATGAACTTTATTTGATTGCCTCACAGGTAGCTCAAGAAGCTCTATGGACTAATTGAGTGGCGGAGCAGCAAGTCCAATACCTGATTGCAAATAAAACTGCATCTATTGCATGCAAAGTGGATTTCCTGTGAGTATTTTTATTTTGGTTGGAACGTGATTGCCTCTGGCTTAGATGAGTGCATATCTTATAGATTTGAGGCGCTGCTGCCCCTTTTACCAGTGCGTTTGCAAGACAGAACAAGAACCTCGTTAATTGGTACAGCTTGGCAATACTGCTTTTGTTCTCTATGGTAAGTGGCATTCAGGAGATTCTTGTGGTGGCTTTGGGCTCAGAGTGGAGCACAGATTGAAGGGGAGGAATGGTGGGTACTGGTGAGAATGGGATATGAAGCAGCGATGGACAGACCGAGTTTCTGAGTTCAGCTTTGCTTTAATAAGCACGTTCAGATACGTGCCCGGACCTTCTCCAGACAATCTGATCTCTTGGAGCCTACAGAATTGGGCTTGGAAAACCTCCCAGTTTCTGTCTGAGCCGACAGAAGGAGCCTTTCACATGGGCCCTCTGTTTTCTGTCTAGGATATACAGGCTAGACTAGAAAGTGAGAAAATGAGAAGAAACGATAAGGCTATCTTCCATTCTCAAAGGCTGAGGCAGGATCAGGAATTCTCCTCTGGGGGGATGGTGTCAACGGTCTTTGCTTGCCTATATGCAAATATGATAGAACAACGAGAGTTTGTCAGGAAGGCCAAATCCAGCTCTGTTACAGAGATACCTGCTGATTCACGGCAGAGTTACGTTGCCTGAATTCCAGCGTGCAAAATCACGGTTGCATCTTTGCTGCATTAGTCATCCTGAAGAAGACAAGAACAAATTTGGCTGACACGGGCAAACCACTAAATTCACCGGCGCTGCTGGAGGTGAACCCAATTTGTTGGAGAGCAAAGCCTGCATCCAGGCACACGGGAGGTGTGGATGGAGCAGAGAACATGCCTGGGAGAAGATGCAGTGAAGGTCCTTTGCTGCCCACCTGGCAGCAGCCCAGGCTCCACGCTTAACAAGTGCAGGGCTCACCAAATGCCAGGTGGCATTTTAATTCCTTTCATCTCAAGCACTCTTTACAGAAGGGCATTATTAGTATCGAGCATTTCGAGCAGCTCCAAGCTGATAGCCCACTGTTCTAATGCAAGGACATGAAAACAATCTGAAAAGATCTTTACGCTTGTTCCTTCCCCTTTCTTGTTTTCTGTCTTCCTCCCCCATCATCTTTTCCTGTTTTCTGTTGGGTTTTTTCCCCTTTTGAAGCTCGAGCTGTGTTTGTGAGTACGTGAATGCCTGCATGCAATAGATCCCCTGTCTGAAACCTTTTTGACGGTCTCCAATGCCAGGAAATTGCATCTGAAACCCAGCTGTATCTGGGTTCCACATTTGAGAGTGATTTGCCACACTCATCTTGCTCTGAAGCAGATTTGCAAGGAACTTCTCCTTGTGAAAACACCACAGTAGGTGACTTCAGGCTTCTAGTTTGCCACTCCGTACAGTGAAAAGGGAAGAAAATTGGTTCTATACCAGTAATTTTGCCCTGGGATGGGCTTGTTGGCCTAAGCACCAAGCAGTGGAGTCCATGAAGGTGTTTGAAAGGTACAGATATTCAGGACGAGAAAACCAGTGCCTTACTAACGGGCAGAGAATTTATCCCACCGCTTCCAGGAAGAAGCTGACCTTTGGCTGAATTCAAAACGGCATTTCACCCCAAAGGGTTGATATTGTGAAATCGGAGAGAAAATAAAACTCAATCATATGCCTGCCTCCCTGTGGAAGAAGCCATCGCTGGCCACTCGAGGCGGGTCTGCTCTGGTTTGGAAGGAGTTGCTATAGGTTGGAGCGCAGTCCATACGTGGAGGGTCTGTATGGTTGACTGCTTGGGAATGAATCTCTGCTGTACCATGAGCAGCTTCTTCCAGGTCTTCTGAGCTGAGCCAACAGGGAACCTTCCTGCTTATTTATTTACTTATTTATGGCTTTAAAGAGTTCATGGTTGAGTGAGGCAAAAAGAAACGTGTTCTGCTTGTTGCTTCCCTGAAAGTCTGATGGGCAAACAGAAAATGCCAGCTTTGGTTCATGGGATTTGGGCTTTTTGTTGGTGTTTAGCCAACCTTTACGGTCCTGGGAGAATGCTTAAATCCTGTAGTTTTGCCTTTCTAAGCAAAAATTATTCTTGATCCACTGAAATCCCACTGGGGAACACCCTATTTACTCTCAAATATTTTCCTCTTGAAAGGAAGCAGCATCAGAGCTGGCGATTCTCTGCAGATAATGACTGACATTGGAGATTTGTGGACAACCTTCTGGTTTAAGATGGAGAGGGGAACCCCAAGCCTAGCTAATGCATAGTCCTTCTGAGCTGTCCTCTCACATGCAGTTCTTTTGTGATAGAGGACTGGGGCCTGATACGGCTTCAAGGTATCTGATTTCCAAGTGCTGCTTGGAGTTTTCAAAAGGTAATAGAGTATTTCCTGAGGTTCTCCTAAATGACCCATACCAGCTCCCTACAGCCAGGGAGAAGAGAGTCCCAACAGGACTCCGACATGGTGACCCACCAGCCTGGGAGGGACAATCTTCTGCTGGGACATGGTTTATAGGAAGCAAGAAGCGCTTGGACAGGAGAACTGTGGCCGTGTTTGAGTGGGGAGTTTGACCAGCTCTGTGGTTTTGATTTTTTCCCCGTGTTCTCTTTACCAGCTCTGTCCTGTCCAGGGAGAACTGCTGGGGTGTTTTCTTCATGAGCTGAGATCAGAGGGGTCTTTTCTGCCTGAGCCAACTCCGACTCTCCTTCAGGGTTGCCGACTACCCTGTGTAGGTGAGTGGAAGAATTTTCAAAGCGCCCTTATCATGCTCTGCTGGAAAACTCCTCTATTTCCTATATCTGCTCTACGAAGGCTGCAGACAGCCAGGGGACTGTTGCAGCCAGCAGGCAGCGTTGGATAGCTGTCAAAAAGCTGATGCCCCTCTGCCCTCATCCATATGGAAGAAGGGTTATCGTCTGCCTCTGTGTGCAGTAAGGTCCTTCTAAAAGGCAATGCAGTAGATATTTATATTTTCAGTGACCGCCTTTCAAAGGAAAAGAAATGAATGCAGCGTGGAGAAATCCAAGACCCAGTTTGTTCAGGTCATGCCTTCTGCTATTTGCGTTGACGCGTCTGTTCCAGTGATAGCTTCCTGCGTGATGGAAGATGCAGCTGTGAGCTCTGATAACCCCCTGAGCTCTCGCAGAGCAGGTGGGAGCTTGGCAGGAGCCACTGACAGGTTTCTTTGTGTAAAATATTCCTCATTTTGAGTGGTTCTGTTTTTTCTCTTTAGCTCAGTAGCTGAATAAGGGAAGTGAGGAATGTGGTAGGGGCCAAATCTGCTCTGCATGCATCTGCCTCTGAAGTGCCTGTAAGAGCCCATGTCAAAGGTCCAGCCTGTTCATCACTTCAGTCAAACATTGCTTAAATTGAAGCATGTGCTTTATGCAAATCATGGGAAGTGTAGAAGATCCTTTTTAGTTACAGGCTTCTGAGGTTCATAAGGCTGCCAGATTTTGGAAGAAACCCATCAGATGAAATCGTTACTGCTTGCAGTTTCTGTTCATCTGATACGGGTGGGATGATGCCAAGATCTCTGGTAGGCTGAGAGATGTGGTGGGGCGTGTTTGTGGGGGGAAGAATTAGTACCTGCCACTTTTCTCCTTGTGCCCAGCTAGGGCAGGATTCAAGAAGCCTCAAAACAAGCTGTTTGGAAGTTTCTGTAAGCCCTAAGCCTAGCTGGCGAGGTGGCTGCACGCCAGGGTTCAGAGGCTGCTTCAGGTTCAGTTTACTGGTCTGTCTAGCCCATCTGATCTGTGACCAGTGACATCCAGTGTCATAACCTGGCTCCAGGAGAGGCTGACTAAAGGGTCTGTGGCCTCTTTATCCTTCCAGCTTGCAGCTGTACTGGGGACCAGCTGGTGCCCGTGGTGGGACAAGGTGGTGTGAAGAGCAGACCTAATGGGGGCTGGACTGGAACCTGGCAACTTATTCCGTGGATGCTCTTTAACACCCGTTGGATAGAAATATTATTTGGTTACCCAGTGCCTTGGGCAAGATGTTTGATGTTGGAAGCCTGAGATATTTTATATATGTGTGTTGTATATATGTGTGTGCATATATATAGTGGCCCTACTGCAGCTTTTATATAGACATTTTTCAATTCTAAATGACCTGCTTCTTCCCTTCTGAGTAGTGGCATTTCTAATCTCAGTGCCAGAAAAAATGATGCTGCCTTCCTGCAATCTTTTTGTTTCCATAGCTGTCCTATATAAATTCCTTAATTTTCTGTGCATAAGCAAATCAAAGGTTAACCTGGAATAGCTGACCCGACCCGTGAGCAAAGAAAGCAGTAGCAATGGCAGGGTGGTTTCTGAGGATGTAGGAATAGGAACCTAAATCAATAGCTTTTAGCAGACTCATAAATGTTTCATTTGTATTCCTCGCTTCGACGTTACAGAGCTTTGACGCGGGAATCCATATAACCTCTTAAATTAGTGTTGTCCCTGCGCTGGGTGTAGATGTTGGAAACCATTTCCCTTGGATGCATTTCAAAGTGCTGCTCCATAGTGGCATTTTCCTTCCTCTTTTGGAGCCTCTGATCACAAGCAAAACAAGCTTGGCATCCTCAGCCCCAGGCTGCAGGGATTTTGGTGGTGGACATGCAACCCCAATATCTGCAGCGACGCTGCTGCCCAGCTCAGAGTGGGAGTTGTGGATGCTTGGGCAAGTTGTTGTTTCTGCATGGAGAAGCACAAGGAGACCTTTTCCCTGGACTCCACGGAGGGCCTCGGGAACACCAACCTCAATAATTCATGGCAGGGGGTGGGGAAGGAGGGATGTGCTCACAACTGTTTGTCAGATTTGGGCTAGTTTGGAGGCGCTGGAGAAGCAGGGGGGTGGGAAGAGGGTGAGCCAGGCAGCTTATCTGGCCATCCGCCTCCGCTGGAGGTCATCCACCCGTGGAGCGTGGGAGGGTTGTGTGGCTCCCGGTCTCTGCCAGGTCAGGGCTGTGACCTCCGTCCCCTCTCCTGGCATGTCATGGTTTCCCTTGGGACCCCAAGTGCTGGGGTGACAGCAGTGAGCCCAGCCGAGCTGGGGAGGACAGGACTGATCTGTAGACCTTGTGCTTGCAGGGGAGAAAGCCCCTTGAGGAATCTCAGGCTGTGAAGAGCAAGTTAAAAAAAAACCAAACACAACTAACCAACCAAAAGAACTCAACCGAAACCCCTTCCCCAGCTGTATCTGTGTGGCTAATTACTCATCGCTAAACAATGAGGTGGCTGGAGCTGTGGGATTTCAGCCCTGGTGCAGCCCTGCAAAGCAAAACTGTGGTGTTTTTGGGAAGAGGGAGTAGAAAAGGGATAGAAAAAGAGTGTTGGGGGAGAGAGAAGATGTAGCAGAGTCAGAATACTGTTTCTCAAGCAAACCCTGTGCTTGAGAAATGCTTCTGTGCGTCTGAACAGGGTCCTCTCTGCCCAAGTGCTGCGATGCTCCTGTGGCAGCTCAGACCCCCCCCAAGCTCTGTGACTTGCCCCCATCTGTAGCCCATTTAGTGGGCTGCCTGCCTAAAAACTCCACTTCCAGCCTGGGAGAGTCTCTCTTACTGACAAATCATCTAGCGTGGTGCCTTCGGTGGCTTTGCTGTGTCTGCTGTCAGAGGGGCCCGTAGCAGAGGCACAGCAGATTGACCCCATTTTTCTTTTATTTTGGACTCATTTTTCAAACCTCAGGGCAGTTGTGCTACCAACTTCACTACTGACTTTCTGCTGTAAGAGAGGACTCCGTGCAAACTGAAGTCTGTCTACTTCAGTTACATGGGGGACAAAATTGAGCTGGCTAAAATATTTTGGAGCAAGTGACTTGGATTTTTATCGTCTAAGTGCTATTAATTTGATTGGTCTGAAGGGTTTTCTTCCACAGGCAAGGATAGGTATCGGGTAGCACTTAAATGAAATATTAGCTAATAAAAGCCTTGTGTTTGCTTCTGCTTGTCTGTTAAAAAGCATAATTTAGCAGTCCCTTTTGTGTTATTATCTGATGTGAGAAGTGTCCTGCAAAATGTTTTAGTCAGATGAAGTGTCTGGTGAATTTTGTCAACAAAAGCTACAATGAAAGTGTTCAGGAAAATTTGTTCAAAACTTCTGGCTTGTACTGGTAGCTAAATATTCCATAAATAAAACCTGTAGCAATTGCCTTTCTTAAACCTGCAATAATCTTCATGAAAATCAGAAGCCAAACTTGATTTCTGCTGAGCCAAGAACAGACTGATGCCCTTTATCCTGGATAGACTCTCTTATTACTGTTTTCTAAGGAAAAATAACTCTCCTGCGGTTTGCCAATACCCTCTAGGGGCTGTTGAGACAATTTACCATCAAGTTTGGGGTTTGATTGCTTCATTTTGTTGCTCTGTTGCTGCAACCAAAGTGCAGAATTTCCCCTTTCACCCTGCTCAGCTTGAGTTAAAGTTCTGGAGGAGATGAAGGTGCAGACCAGGGCAGAGGAACACCCTTTTGGGGTGTCACCTGGTGCTTCAGGTTTGAGGTCCCTTGAGATGTGTACCAGGGTTGGGTAGCAAATGCATATGTTCTCTGCCTTAGGACAAGAGAATAATGGTTTTTCTGTTTGTTTCTCTGCAGGCAAGAGCTCTGTCACCATGTCAGTCAGCGTCCACGAGAACCGTAAATCCCGGACTAGCACCGGCTCTATGAACATCTTGCTTTTTCACAAAGCTTCCCACCCAGACTGTGTCTTGTCCCATCTGAACACCCTGCGGAAGCACTGCATGTTCACCGATGTCACCCTTTGGGCAGGAAACAGGTCATTCCCCTGTCATCGGGCAGTGCTGGCTGCCTCCAGCAGATACTTTGAAGCCATGTTCAGCAATGGCCTCCGGGAGAGCTTGGACGATGAGGTGAACTTTCATGACAGCCTCCACCCAGAGGTGCTGGAGCTACTGCTGGACTTTGCTTATTCCTCTCGGATCATCATCAATGAGGAGAACGCTGAGTCCCTCCTGGAGGCTGGAGACATGCTGCAGTTCCATGATGTCCGAGATGCAGCAGCTGAATTCCTGGAGAAGAACCTCTACCCTTCCAACTGCCTGGGCATGATGTTGCTCTCAGATGCTCACCAGTGCCGGCGGCTCTACGAGCTCTCCTGGAGGATGTGCCTGGTCAACTTTGAGACTGTTCACAAGAGTGAGGACTTCAACAACCTGTCCAAGGACACTCTACTGGACCTCATCTCCAGTGATGAGCTGGAAATTGAGGATGAAGAAAAGGTCTTTAAGGCTGTCATCCAGTGGGTGAAATACGATCTGGATGAGCGGAAGGCTTATCTCCCAGAACTTCTGAGGAATGTTCGTCTGGCCTTGCTTCCTTCTGAATGCCTCAAGGAAGCCTTGGCTTGTGAGGACTTGATCATGGTGGATGAAAGGAACAAGCTTGTCTTGGATGAAGCTATTCAGTGCAAGAAGAAGATCCTCCAGAATGATGGGGTGGTCACCAGTCCCTGTGCCAGGCCTCGCAAGGCTGGGCACACCTTGCTGATCCTGGGAGGACAGACCTTCATGTGTGATAAGATCTACCAAGTGGATCATAAAGCAAAGGAGATTATCCCCAAAGCAGACCTGCCAAGTCCTCGGAAGGAGTTTAGTGCCTGTGCCATCGGTTGCAAAGTATATATCACTGGAGGTAGGGGCTCGGAGAACGGGGTCTCTAAAGACGTATGGGTGTATGACACTGTTCATGAGGAATGGTCAAAAGCTGCTCCAATGTTAATAGCTCGGTTTGGGCACGGTTCGGCTGAATTGGAGAACTGCCTCTATGTGGTTGGTGGACACACTGCAGTAGCTGGAGTCTTTCCTGCATCTCCTTCTGTTTCCTTGAAGCAAGTAGAGAAGTATGATCCCATATCCAACAAATGGACAATGGTGGCCCCTTTGAGAGACGGAGTGAGCAACGCCGCGGTGGTGAGCGCCAGGCTCAAGCTTTTTGTCTTTGGTGGGACCAGCATTCACCGAGACATGGTGTCCAAAGTCCAGTGCTATGATCCAGCTGAGAACCGGTGGATGATCAAAGCCGAATGCCCGCAGCCCTGGCGCTACACGGCAGCTGCTGTCCTGGGCAGCCAGATTTTCATCATGGGAGGAGACACAGAGTTCACGGCAGCATCTGCCTACCGCTTTGACTGCGAAACGGACCAGTGGACACGCATCGGGGACATGACAGCCAAGCGCATGTCGTGCCACGCTTTGGCCTCGGGGAACAAACTCTATGTGGTGGGGGGTTACTTTGGGACTCAGAGGTGCAAAACGCTGGACTGCTACGACCCTACGTCAGACACGTGGAACTGTATCACAACGGTGCCTTACTCGCTCATCCCCACAGCTTTTGTCAGCACCTGGAAGCACTTGCCATCATGATGAGGGTCAGGGCTAGGGCACTTGTATCCAGGAGGTCAATAAGGTAAGGGTCTCCTCTTAAGCTGAAACTTGCTTTCTCATCTCAATTGTGTCTCCACCTGAAGCCATGGGTTCCAGGTTGCTTAGGTTTTATGAAGAGGGTGCATTTAAAGGTGGGATGCAGCACCAGAAAAAGGTAATGTACTGTACTGGTGGAAGTCTAGCAAACTCCAAGGTTTCTCCAGTTTCCAGATGGTCCACTCGGTATCTTACAGCGATGGTTGCAAACCAACCACAGCTCCTCTCCCTCTGCTCTGAGCGAGCTGGGTGTGTGGGTGGGTATGGGAGGGCAGAGGCATCCATGCCTGCTCTCATGGCTGTCACCACAGAATACATCCTGTCAACGTGCAGTTGAGGGGATTATGGTTTCTAAAAGCACTTACGTATGAGTCCTGAGAGATACTCGGGCAGCAAGTGCTTTGGAAAAAGTCTCCGTAGTTGAATATTTTTGCTGGGTATCGGGGTGATTTATTCAGAGCTGATGAATACGTAGGCAAGAGACCCTTGGGATGCTGGCTAATCCTGGATCTCTTTTTATGCTTGGTATTTACGTTTCAGTGGGTAGCAGAAGCAGAAGCTTAGAAGCCATGATGCATTTGATGGTCCTGTTGTTTATTTAACATCCAAACTGTTGCTTGTTAAATCAGAACTTCTGAGACTTCTGTGTGAGACCTGAGTGGGAGGGAAGGGGTTTTGTAACCAGAAAAAGAATGTGTTGATCGGTGTTCTGGGGTGTGTGAGAATAAGATAGTTGGTGGAAACTCATGATGTCCTGTGTCATTCTGGTGCTCCAGTTCTTGCTTGCTCAGAGAAGGTGCTATTGCAATGCCACTGGGACAGGGCTGTTGGTTCCTCCTCTCTCCTCCCCAGCGGGATGCTTTGTTGCCATTCTGGCCACCAGCTTCACTCCACAGAGCTTTGCATGTCTTCACCAATCTGTGCTGAGATGCAGCTGACCAGGAAAAGGCCAAAACCTCTTATCCCTTTGCATAGTGAAAGCAGATATTGATACAGGCAAAAATTGGGTAACATCTTCTTTGCAGGAAGTCCGTAACACCTCTGCTAGCTCAGGCTGTAGGTTTCAAAGTGCTGGCAACACACACCACCCTGCTTTGGTGGTTGGAGACTACCTCCCAGCTAGCTGAAGGAGCTGGGAAACCCTGGCGCATGGGGGCGGGATTGACAAGCATCACTTATGGTTTTATTTGGAAGGTGGGGACTGCGGGGAGGGAAATTCTTCCACAGGCTCATCAAAATCCACTTCACTAAATACAGGGAAGAAAGAATGCTGCCCAAAGCCTCTAACACCCTCTCACTTCCCTGCTTCCCACTTGGTGCGGTTGGTGCGCCTGGGAATCGCCCAGTGGGTGAAATTACTGGCATCTCCCAGTGATCACCTCTTTTGATGCCAGCTGGGAGTCGAGGAGGAGCTCCTGGCACCTCTGCCGGGCATTTGCCCAAGGTGACCACCTGCTTTTCTCAGGTGGAAAAAAAAAAAAAGGCATCCAAAGCATTATGCTGGCCTTTGATTTGTGAAACACCTGGTTTTAACATGGGTTGGACCACAGTGAGGGCAGGACAAGAGTGAAAAGGGTTAAAAGGAGATCTCTGAGAGCTTTCCCAGCACTGGAAGATAATGGCCTTTCCAAATTCTCCTCCTCAGGCGTTGCCTAGCATCTGTCACAGTGGCTCAGTAATCTAATTAACTTTTAAATGTTGCAGCAAAGAGTGTGAGGACTCCATCATTTTCAACTCAGGTCAATGGGGCTTCCCTTTAAGAGTCATCCTAGAGCTGAAAATTAATTTTCTCTGGTAGCAGATGTGTCTGAATATTAAAGCTCAACACCAGCCACACTGCTGGGAATAGAAATAGGGAATATTTTGAGGTGGGAGTTGATTTTTCAGCTACCGAATAAAAAGCAGTCTCTGAGCATACAGAGATGTTATTTTCTTCTCCTACTTTTTTCTCCTGTACTGTATTTGGGTTGTTCAGATCTAATAAACAGCTTTGTGGGGGTTATACAGATATTTTTTTCCCCCTGTAATCTAGAGTCTGGCACAAGCACAAGAAAACTAGGAGCTGTAATATGCCAACCTGCAAGTAAAACTGGTGAAAAGTCACTGTGTGAGGGTTTTATGTGCTTTTTTGGCTTCACTTCCACTCTTCAGTTACAAGAAGTATTTAAAATATACATGAGTTCTTGCCAGACAGAATGTCTCTTCACTTCATTTTTCTAGAGATTTTTTTTCTAAAAAAAACCCTCTGAAGTTATTGTTGTGGCTTCAGACACTGTGACAGCTCTTAATAAAGCACCAAGACTGGTGAGTGAAGGCCAATGTGTTGCTTGTGCCCCACCAGTCATGTCCCATTTGCTTGCCTTGGCTGTACCTGACCCAAAACTGGGCTCAGGAACTGGGGTAACTGGCTATAGGGTCCTATGACTACCCTGTCATCCTACAGCAGGTCTGACCAAGGGATCTTCTGGCCTGCAGCTCCCACCATATGTGGTCTCTCCTGCAACATCCATTTTGATCCCTATGGAGTCCTTCTTCAAGAAAGGGCACCCAGAAGGCAGGTTGGCCAGCAGGGGCCTGGGTGCTGGTGTGCTTTGGGAATGGTAATCCTGTGGGAACGCCCTGCAGCTGGAGAAGGCTTAGAAGGGACCATCCAAGGTGTCCTTGGAGCAGAGCAAGCTGGGTTGGTGAGGAAAGGTCTGGGCAATCGCACGGTAGGAGATACTACTTTGTACTCATGAAAAAAACCCAACCTTCTCGTCTATAACCTGTTGAGGTTGCATTCATACCGACCCTGAAACCCAAATAATATGTCCTTGGAAAATGCTGATCATAAAGCACTAAGCCTGCCTTTCATCCAAAGCATAAAACTGATCAGCTGGAAACGTTTCCTCCAGGGCATGGCCTTCAGCCTTCCCAGCTGGAGCCGGGGCACCTTTCAGCAGAGGTCCCAGTGCCCCTGCCAAGGATGTCGTGTGACATTAATTTAGGGCTTACTGCTGGCAGTTAATTCCAGGGATCAAGCGTGATTAGCAATATGAAACATGAAAGCCTGGTCTCCTCCCACCCATGGTGGTGGAGCCATGAGAAGGCGAATCGTTACAAAAAGGAAATAAAATACTGAGCACTTGGCTTATAAGGCCCCTCTGTGTTTATAAACACCAGCAAAGCTCAGCCAGGAGCTTGGCAGGGACAACGCTGGGTGGTCTGTTGTGGTTCTGTGCAGTGACAACTGATGGGGACAACTCCACACCTCCCAGGAGGTGACTTCAGGCGCTAGCAGGAACAGGTTCTCCCAGCTGCTTTTCTCCAAATTAAAAGTGGCTTCTCCAAACTATCTGTGCTGTGCGACGCTCTCATTTTCATGGGGCAGAGCAACACATGGGCTTGGGCCAGAGAGTGGAACCTTCAGCTGGGGGTTGGGATGCTCACTGGAGATGGGGGAGCTGCAGGTTGCGTGGTCCAGCCGTGGAAGATGAGGTGGAGAGGGAGATCTCTGCATCCCTCTGTGCTGGCTCCTGAGCTGCACTGGGGTGGAGATGTCAGTGCTCCTGTCTCAAAACAAATGGGAATGAGACAAATCCCGTAGCAGCTGGGAACCAGGGGTTCCCCCTCAGGGCTTTTCAGCTCCTGCAGGACCCTCCTCATGGTCTGGAGCAGAGACTGGTGGCCAGGCACTGCTCAGGTACTTATTCCTGGGGCTCACCCAAAAGCTCAGAGCCCATTTTGTGGCTCCCAGAAGAGCCCTTTGGTGGGTTTGGCTCCTGTGAAGGCTGCAAGGTGATACCAGCAGCTGGTGCCTGCTGTTGGGTGGGCACTGCGCCATTCAGGCTGCAGGTTTTGAGGCAGCTCTGGCACCTAAAAGCTTAGCTTTGGCCCCAAATCTCCTGCGAGGATTTCAGCAGCGTGCCAGGCTCATATTCTGTGTTCTGACACCACGGCCAGTTCAATGACTTTTCCTGATTATTTAATTACGGCTTGGCTAACAGACCTTTAGCAGAGGTGGCTTTGCTGCTGCCTGGTCTGGCTTCCTTTCCACGTGGAGCAGCACTTGGTCAACTTTTACCTTGCGAGAAGCTGTAGGGTTTTGTTGCCCTGCTCCCAGCCGGGCACCTTCCTACACGAAAGCCCCAGGTGCCTGCAAACAGCAGCCTAAAATCCAAATCTCAGGGTAACCTCCCGGTGCTGCCTGCTGCCAGCTTGGGTGCTTGCAACCTGTTACAGCCTCACTGGTTTTACTGGAACAAAGTGGCAGCTGGTTTCTCTCGGTGGCTCCTGGGGAAACCCATTTGCATGCGTCTAATAGCGAGGCTGGATAAACAGGGAGGGCAGTTTTTGCCTCCGCTGCGCTTTCCAAGCAGCTGGTTGCCTCTGAAGCCAGTTTATCAGGCAGCGTTGGAAGGGAGTGGCTGGCCTGGGGAGGAAAGTCGATGAAAATCAGGCTTTTCCTAACCCTGGGCAGATGGAAACATGTGCAGTCTGAGCTCAGCTTCAGACTGGATTAATCAACCCCTTGGAAACGTCAGCCGTATGGATGGTTTTGGAGGAACCAGTGGAAAAAGAGAAAAAGGGTCTTTTTGTTTCGCCTGTTCCAGTTCTTGGGCCCTCCTCCTCATCTTAAAAAATGTTAAAAGCTCCATTTCCCTCAAATTTTCATTCCCTTGTCACATCCACAGAGGTTTCCTGGCTGGCTGTGCCCAGCTCCCTGGTGCTCTGAGCCCTCCCCAGCTGAACACCCACTCTCTCCCCTCTTCTGTGAAAGCAAAGGGCATCCCAAATCCCAAATAAACCAAGTGCTTTCCGCTTCCCCCCATCCCCAGGGTCCGGGCAGAGGGTTACCCCAATAACTGCCAACCTGCAACCCTTTTTTGGTGCTCCCCTGCCTGGGCTGAGCCGAGTGTCACAGCCATTAATGAGCTTTCTCTTTCCCTCCCCAGGTGCCAGAGTCACATCCACGTCCCCTGTCTTGCTGCTGGAGCCAACACAGCGACCGTGTCCCCTTCCTGTCCTCCGGCGTGGGACTCCAAGGAGCCTTCCCAGCTCCAGGAGCGGGAGGCACGGCCGTCCCTGTCACCAGCACTGCACCGGGGGGACACCAAGGGCCACCCAGCCCCACCACCGGCCACTGCACGGGGATGGCTTGGAGCCCGGAGTGCTGGCTGCCGGGCTGGGGCCAGGGGGGCCAGGGGACAGCTCGTGAGTGCCAGTGGCCCCACCAGGCTGGGGAGATGGAGGACGTGCATCCCTCAGCAAGCACGGCGTGGGGAGCCGTGAGGTGCTTTTTGTTACTCAGTTGGGGAGGGGGTGGGTTAAGAGATATTGATATTATTTTTTTTTTTTTTTGGAAGGCAGTGAACTTCCCATTGGCAGGGGCTGCTGTTTGGGTGGCTTGGAAGGGTTTTTTTTTTTTTAAAGGGCAAAGGGGCAGGCTGGCAGAGAGCAGCACCCAGCTCTCCCCAGCCTCTGGCCGCTCCACGGAGGTGATGGCTGTTGAAATACTCAAGCGTGGGAGCTCAGGGCGGCTGCCAGCAGCGCCGGGTACTGTGGCAAAACAGGGCAGGTGCCTTTTGTTTTGCACTTTGGGCCTTTTTTTTTAATTATTATTATTTTATTATTTTTATTTTATTTCCCCCCTTTCCTCGCTGCAGCGGGTTGCCATTTGGTCTTGCCAGCTGCTGGGGAGAGCTCTGTTAGCGTGCCAAGGCACCGGCCCCGCTGCCGAGATATTCACCAGATAAACCCCTCTGCCTGCTCAGAGCCGGTCTTCTGAGTCTCCCCGCCGAGCAGCGCGTGGGTGAGGGCCTAATTAGCAAACGAGCAGAAGCAGAGAGGTGCAGCGGGGCAAAGCTCGCGCCCTGGGAGGGGGCGTCCTGCCCCTAGTGAGGCCTCGGAGGGACGGCGAGCGGACTTGGGGGGGCTGGGGAGGGATCCCCTCCCTCCTGCTGTGCTGCACATCCTGGCTCCTCCTTGGGGAGATGGGGGCATTTTTGGCTGCACGTTGCCCGCCCGTGGTCGGGCTGTAGCTGCCCCGGGTTATCCACACAAAACCGGCTGAATTTGGGTTTAGCTCGAGTGGCTCCTCATTCCCGCTGCGGAGGAAGACCCCTGGGTTTTGGCTGTCCATACGGGGATGCAGCTCCTGCCTGGCCTCTTCCAGGGCTGGCCACCACCAAAGGCTGGTTCTGCTGGGAAGCCCCAGCATCCCGCTTCCCTCCGCCACAGATCTGGTCCTGCAGATGCTCTGGGTTTGCCTTTTGCCCCTGGATTAGGTTAAGCTGAAGCCTGGCCAGCTGAATGATGCAATGTGATGAAAAGCCTTGACATGGCTTCAAACAACAAAGGTCTTTTTGGAGCAATGAGCGCCTGTTGCTGCCGGGAAGAACACACTTTGTGCACAGCCGGTCTGCGATGCTCTGAATGACGTTTATTTACATTTTCTAAGGTTGGTTGGTTGCTTTTTTTTTTTTTTTTTCCTCCAGCTGCCTGCGAACTTTAATAAAAAATGATGACCTGGGAAACCGTTTGTGTGTTTTTCACAGGAGTCTTCATTCTTAAGCAGGTTAGATTTAGGTCTAATAACAGGGCCGAGGAGTAATAACAGGGTTGGCACTTGGCTCAGCAGCTCACAAACAGCCTCTTTAAGCGACCAGCCCGGCTCTAATTATTATTGCTTCAGCACCTGGGAAACTGAGGCACAATGTCAAGTGTCTTGTCTGAGGTTAGAGGTAGATCTGGGAACAAAGTCCAGGGCTTCTCGCATCCTGAGGACATCACCTGTCTCCTTCCCCACAGCTGCTCTCACTCAACTTGATCATGATGTGATTTTTTTTTTTCAGGAGAACTTGCTAATATCTGCCAAATAGGTCGAGGGGGCCCGAGGCAGACACAGCCGTGCTCCTGCAGGGAAAGCCAGGCATTTCTAAGGAAGACGAGAAGAATTTCTACTTCTGTTTTCCTTATTTGCCTTCGCTTTGGCTGCTGCGGCTCCCAAGAAAGGGGCCCATTGAGAGGTGAGATGGGCTTTCCAGCTGGGGCTCCTGCTTCTCCTCCTGTGCACATCCCAGAGGAGCAGGGATCTGGTCCAGCCCTGCCCTGGCATCTCTCCTGCTACGAGACCAGCAGCTCCTGCTTTGCTGAGGATGGGGAGAGCCAGAGCATCACTCGGAGCAGGTCGTGGTGCTTGCAAGCAGGACACGGCGACCTTGCAAGTTCATATTCACCTCCTCTTACTCGCAGGGGGCTGGTGGGCTTGGGAAGCAAAGCTTCCCACCAGTGTTACCTCAAAGGGATTTGGAGCCTGGATTTCTGAGCTGTAAAGGAGACCGGGAACGTTTCTCCTTGCCCACAGGAGCTGGGCAGGCAGCAGCGTTAGCTGACGTGAGCTGGGCAGATATGAGTGTGAGGCACCATAGAAAAAGCTCATTAAAGAGCCCTTTGGGAAATCATTTCAGGGTAGAAATTACTGTTTGATGAGCGGGAGAGGGAAAAAAGAGAGGGAGTGTGTGAATGAAATCCCTTTCAGTTCTGTTGATTCAGGTTTTATACAGGACTCTGGGACTTCAAATACCAGCACGGGGAGGCTTTGCGACTGGCTGGCTTTGATATGAGCCACGCAAAGACCTGCTCTTTTGTATTTATTCTGGAGCTTGCCTGAAAGACAATTCAAAAGCAATCGGCAGCTGCTGTGACAGCAGTAACCTGTTGCTATGGAATTAAATGCGATGCGAAATACAAAGGTTCCTTGGTTTGCAGCAACAAAGTGAAGGGGGAGCAGGAGATGGAAACGGATGTAACAGTCAGAATAAAGCTACAGGCAGAGCGGGGCTGGGTTGGAACCAGGGGAAGAAATAGAAACGTGATTTGTTTTGCTTTTTTTAAAAGAGCTTTTTCAGCATCTCAGCAGGTCGAGCTGGGCTTTGTCTGGGAGCGAGCGCTTAGGACAGAGTCTCGTCTGGTGGCATTAGAGGGGTTGTATGTTCCCAAGCTCCTGGGAAACATGTCCATCTGCATGCTGGAGCCAACCCTCGCTGTGGGGTGTCCGGAGCTGAGGAATCTTCCCCAGAAGGTTGCCAGGAGCCTGGCGCCAAGTTCCCCCCCAGGAGGTGCAGGGTCTTGCTTGGATCCAGCCCTCACTCAGCCCCAGGCAGGGCAGCAAACTGCTGCTGGCCCAGGCCACCAAAGGGGGGCTTGTCCCACACCTCCTGCCTTGTTTTGCAGGGACCTGGCCCACAGGAGAGCTTGGAGAGGACACAACTCCTTTCACCCCCACCCTCTGGCCCTTCTGGAGCGCTCTCCAGCTCGGTTCCCCAGCTCTGTAACAGGGTGCTCCCCACTTTTCAAGACACATTTGGGAGGAGAGGGCAGGGAGCTGCTCAGAGGTGGCACCACAGCGAGCAGGACCAGACCTCTCCCAGGTTTCGGGACCTCCATCCCCAGGGACTGACTGTGCTGAACCTCCCCAGATGCAAAAGGCTGATACTCCTATGTCTTATTTAAATGAAACTCATTTCAACCTTGTTGGTTTTTAAATATGCATTTTTCCCAGCCTGACCCCAGCTGCCCTTGAAATAATACTATTGTGTGGTGAAGCCCTTTGGGGAATTATCATCTGAGCTCGCTCTCCCTTTGTCGCTAGAGTCAATTAAAAGCAGAGTAGCTGGTGATTTAATACCTCCGGTGTCTGAGGAAGCCCCACATCCACCCAGGGGCTGGCTCTGGTGTTTTAGACCCATAATTGGAGTGGAGGAATGTTTTTGCCGGCCATCCAACACGCTTTCAAATTCACCTGTGTCTGTGAAGAGCACTGAAGCCTCCTGTCCACAGCTTGTCATCTTCTCCTGCGTGTCAGTTAAAGCCCTGGCACTGCACATCCTGCCCATGGCAGGAAGGTACCATGGTGAGTTGTTTTCCCATTCCTCGGGCACCTTCTCCCTTTGGACAAACCCAACACCGTTGGGTCCTGAAGAAGGTCCAGGTTTACAAGCTGCCCCCCAACTCCCCAGGAAAGGCTGCTCATGAAGTTAAGCTTCCAAGAGCAGGAGAAACCACAGCCACCAGCTCTCCACAACAAACTGGAAATGTAAACTGGGCCCAATCCCTCTCGCTCCAGTGCAGAGCGGGAAACTGGTGACCTCGGGCAGCGGTGGCAGCGCTGGGGGGTCCCCAGATGGGAGCCTGAAGTGGGGACTCCTGGTGGGAGTGAACAGCAGAGGCTGAGCTCATGGGTTTTTTTTTTTTCTCCCTCTCTTACAATCTCCCTTTTCTTTCCATTTCACCACCTCCTTATTTAACATCATCGACTGCTGTGCGAAACCATCAGCCCCGGTTGCAGCAGCGTGACCTACTTTACCGCCTCGTCCCCCACTTCCTCACTGGACTCGCCGGCTCAGAGCCCACCCAGGCCATTCAGCGCTTCTCAGCTGAATAACAAATCCAATTAGGTGGAAGAAAGCCTGGCTTTCAGGCTGTCAGCGCCTGGACATCTCACTTCACACTGCACCGCTGATGGCCACGTCTCATAGACATCCTGGACAAGGAAACCCCCCCACACCCAGCCTTGTATTTGTGTGCCCCTCCTCCAAATGAAGACGGGGAAAGGGTTCAAGAGGACTGATCCTGGCATTCCAACGTGTCCTTTCGTTCCTCCTGACATCCCTTGGGGATCACGGAGCTCAGGAATCAAAAAAGGTGTGGTTTTTTTTTCAGTTCTGGCTCTCCTGGGAAGGCCTCCCTTCCCAGCAGAGCCTGGAGAAATGGTCCAGGGCTGTGCCAGGGTGGCCCAACTTGTCCATTTCAGCCAGGCTGTGATTTAATAACCGATAGAAAGTCACACCCAACCCCGGTCCGACAGCTCCGTCCAGAGAAAACAGAGAAAAAAAATCCTTCCCCTTTGCTGCTCCCCTTACTCTCTTTTTCCAGCCCAGCAGGGACCCACAGCCACCAGCAGGCAGCCAGTCCCCAGGACGCTGGCTCCGCTCCATCGTCGGGGGGAAAGCTGTGTGTTAAAAGGGATGAGTAGAAACAAAACAAGGAGGAGAAAAAAAATAAAATAAAAAGGCTTAGGGGCCACCAGGAAAAGCCTTTTTAGTCTCTAAGTTCCCTGGCTGGGTAGGACGGACGGACAGACAGACGGCTCTATGGCAGGTGCGGGGAGGTGGGGAGGCACCAGTACTCCATTTCTGGGTCAGTGTCTGGAGGAATCAACACACACACACACACACACCAACAGGAGCTGATTCCCTCCGACGGCCGCTTCTCCCCATCCCACCACCGCGTCCCGGCCTCTCCTCGGCCCACGCTGCCGCCCCAAGGCCTCACGCCTGCTCCAGGCCTTCCCACAGGGCTCTTGCTAATGACTCACTGCTCCTGCTCAGCTCTAATTAGGCTCTCGTCTAATTAGGCTCCCTGGAAAGAGGCAGCCCGGTGTGAAGCAGCTCTTTGGTGAAAGGAAAAGGGAAAGAAAGGAGCGTCTGGAGCCGCCGGCGGGAGAGACGCCAGGCTGCGGGGAGAGGTCGGGGGGATTGGGAATCGCCCGCTGAGCTGCCTCCCGGCAAGGGGTGGAGGGAAAAGAAAGGGGAGAGCAAAAGGACCGGGATGTCTTCCAGCCTCTTCTTGTCCTTTTTAGCCCCGTTGAACAAGTTATGGCCAGGCAAAAGGAGCCCCGGGATGCAGGGAGCGAGGGATGCTGCAGGCAGTGGGGTGGGGGTACCCAGTCCTGAACCTGCAGCATCCTCCCCTCGGCCGCCTTGGGAGGGAGGGTGGGAGCGGGGTCTGCAGCGAAGCCTGGCTGGGGTATGTCAAAAGGTGAGAAAATAGCTTTATGGGGGGGCATGAGGGGCACCCACCGTGCCTGCCCACCCCTGTGAGGCTGGGGGTGCTCACTCCTACAGCCTCTCGCACCACTGGCCAGTGTCAAATATTATTTTTCCCTGATTTTTAACCACGTTCCAACCCCAAACAAATCAACACATTTGCAGCATTTAATATCCCCTCTAACTAATTAACAAAACCCATGTGCCTTCTTAGGCAGAGGTAGGTCATTCCTTTGCCACTCACCTGGTATCTGATCACAAGGCATCTCACTCACTCGCTGAACTAATTAGGGTTTTGCCTTTCCTTCTGTTAATAAAGCCTCGGTGAATGAGCAGCCTGTCTGCAAGCCCCGGCCCAGCTCCCACCTGTGTCCTCCCAGCCCTCCCAGCTCCCTGGAGCCAGCGCCAGGACTGAACCCAGCAAGGGCAGGAAAACGGGAAACACAGATAATGCCAACACTAAAGGAGACACTAAACTGTCTTCCCAAGGGCCTGTCAACGCTCCTTTTAGAGTCACATCCAAGTGTAAGGATCCTTTGTGATCCCTTTTAGGTGAAGGTACCAGTGAAAATCCAGCCCCATCCAGATGACCCACCATATGGCCCCGCAGAGATCTTCTCCTCTAACCCTGGTTGCTAAGGAAGAGCTCAGGCTGGGCGAGAAACCTGGGGTGCTCAGAAACACATCACTATTCTTGG